TTTAAAGTCTCTCCCAATTTTGAGAATCTGTGAGATACCTCTTGGAAGTCATGTGAGCCCTTTGGCTGAGTAAGAAGAATTCAGGTTACCCTGGTTATTCCTATGTAGTAGGGTGACGCGAAGAAAGATAAATGTAGGAAGCAGTGTTCTGATAGCAGATCCATAATAGATGGGGTGGGCGTATCTGGGCACTAAGAGACTTTTTGGTGATGTCAGCATCAGCTGATAGTGTGAGGAGGGAGGACAGCAGGATTGGAGAGAAAAGGGCACAGGAGGATCGGTGTTCAGGCCGCACTGTTGGAGTGTGATGACCTAGAAGCTGCCAGTCTGTGGTGCCCATGTCCTCATGACTTAGTCTCAGCAGCTGCAACCTCGACCTCTGTCCACAGCTTCCCTTGGGCTTGTGAGCGAGGATGTGGAAAGGCGATTCGGAGGCATCTCCCCATCTCACCTCTCCCCATCCAGCCAGGCGGTTTGTCAAGGTGCTGAGTTATTCCTAATGCTTCTGAGCCCTGGGGCCCACATAATTTCCTATAGTTGAAAGGCCATACTATGAGGAACTTACCAATATTGCTTGTCTTGGCCGTGGGTTTCAGTGTAATTTTTCTGGTGAATTTGTCTCTTTTGAAACTATTAGCTGTTTTTGAAGGCAGTGTTTTTTTAGTTCATTGATTTTATTGGTATATTTTAGGTATATGAAGGCAGTTTTTTAAAATGTCTGATCCATCTTCTTCCGAGGACCATTCTGCATCTCTTTGTCCTATAGCAGATACTCTTTACCAAGAAATTAAATGCTTGTGACTCATATTTGGGTAGACAGAAAATTCTATCTCAGTTTTGAGGTGTGTTTGGATGGCTTGTCCTTTTTCTGCTTTAAGCTGGTTATCGATTTGATGTGTCTGAGAAATTTAATGTCTTTCCAACACAAAAGGTGGGTTAATTCAGAAGTAAGGCACTTTATTTTGGGATAACATTGCCATTGTTATTGTTGGAGTTGATCATTTATATTAGTTGTTGGCCTTTCTAAAACCCAGAGCTAAGCAATTGGATCCACCTCACAGAGGACCCATCTCTACCCCACAGAGACAGTGGTGGACCAGGGCAGAGGAGGAAGCACACTTGGTGTATTTCAACAAAGGGATGCAGGCTGGGAGGGCCTCCTTTGCATGCCGGGTCTCCCCTTCCAAGTTCTCTCCACCTGCCCCATGGTTGGAGGTGGGGCTGAGCACTGTCTCTGTAGCTCCCTCCACGAGGAAGGAGACCTCAGAAGTGGGGAGCAAATACCCTTCCCCTGCCACGACTCAGGGGTGCAGTGGTTAAACCACTGTGAGTGGCTCTAAAACATGACTGCTTTCGACACCGTGTGGTTACCCAGTGCCAAAGTGGACTATGTCATTAGAAGTAGAAATGGTGAAGCATTTGATATACACTATCAATTGCTCCTCAAATGTTTGTACTGGTCTTCATTTCTGCAGAAGAATTTGAGACTAATCCTAACTCTAACCCTAACCCTAATCCACACAAATGGTTCCTTTCAATAAAGTAACAGTTACTTCTAGTTTTTTTTTAAAAGTATTTCTTATGTTTTGTGGGCATTAATTTGTGAAGCTTTATGTCTTTTCACATATATATTGATCTTCTTATTTTTGTGTATTACATCTTTATAATGTGTATTCACTTCCTACTGAAATGCATGATCTTATGAATTTAAGTTAGCTAATATTGGGTTTATTAAGCTTTTTCATGTATATTTTATATTTTTGCATTGTATCATTTGTGTTATGACTTTATGCTTTTTTCTGGTTGCTCAAAATTTGGCTTTTTTGTGTAGTCAAATTCTAATATTCTTTCCAGGCTTTTAAAAGCCTTTTATACCTCCAAATTATAGTCACATTCAACAATTCTATTTCACTGTTCTTTCTTTTTTCCTCGGCATTGGGATTGAGCCCAGGGTCTTTACACTGAGCAACATCCCCAACCTTTTATATTTTTAATTTGAGACAAGATCTCACTAAGTTTCTAAGTCGCCCAGGCTGGGCTCAAACTTGGTGATCCTTCTGTCTCAGCCTTCCAGAGTGCTGGGTTCATAGGCATGAGCCATCGCACCTAGCATTATGTTCTTTAATAACATTAATTTTTATTCCTAAATGTTTAATTCACAATTTATTTTGATGGAAGTAAATTAATGATTACCATTTTACCTTTTCCTCAAAGGATGTACCAATCATCTTAACATCATCTTTTGAATATTCTATCTTATTTTGACTTTCAGATGATAAATTCCTATATATAATTATATCAGTTTCTATTCCTTATCCAGTATCAAAGAGCTTCAGCTATACTAACATTTAAAATATTTGAACGACAAACGAACCTGACTAACCTTCTTTATTTTTCTTTTTTTGGCACCAGGGATCCAACTCAGATCCTTGCACTTGCGCAGCAGGCGGTGAAATCACTGAGCTAAATTCCCAGCCCCCTTTATTTTTCTTGCAGATGAACTTTGGAATAATTTTGTCAAATTACAGAGAAAATTCCACTGGATTATGGTTGAGGATACAGATATTCTCAGATTAATTTAGGAGAACTGAAGTTTAGGGAGAATTAAAATGTAATTTATTATACTGAATTTCACTCTTTAAAATATTTGATTTGGTAAATTTTTGTTGGTATATGTCAGCTCTTCCACTAATGCATATATTTTTTAATGTTTTATGATCTTCTGTTTAGGAGCATTTCACACTTTAGGTGCTTTTTATTTTTAAAAGTTTCTTACCTATTGTAGATGCCTTAGTTTTCCATTGTGCTTTCTAGCCAGTAATTCCATTTGAGTGTCATTATTGTTGTAGTGATTTTTAGTTTGATTTTGCTTTTTTCCCCTAGGCTTTCCCATTTTGGATTTTGCTTGCAAGAAACAAAAACCCATTCAAACTAGGTTAGGCAAAAAAAACCCCACTTATTTGAGAAGGAAGAGGCCTTTCCTGTCACCCAAGAACACAACAGCCTGAATTTCAGTTTAAAAATTCGAGGATCAAGGGTACTGTGCCAAGTAATCTTGACCATCAACTTGAATGGATGTCTTCATCCTGGGTGACTCCAGGAGAGGTGGCAGATTATGGGGGGCTGTACTAATTGGTGGATTTATCCTCTAATGTTGATGGCTGAATGTGCTGCTAGGAGGGGACCCAGCTGGAGGTTTGTACCTTTGAAGGGTGTGTGTCTTGCTGGCTCCCTTCCCCTGGGCTGTTTCCTGGCCACCCTGAAGTGAGCATCTTTGCTCCACCAGCCTGTCCACCAACACGTTCCTGCCTTGGAGCCAGTCAGCCATGGACTGAAACCTCTGAAGCTGTGGGCCAAATAAACTTCTCCTCCTTTAAGGTGTGAGTGTCAGGTGTTTTGTTCCATTGATGGGAAAGCTGATTAAAACACGTACTTTGCATCTCTGAAATGATAGAGTCTTCTTTCTCTAGTGGTTTTCCTACTCCAGAATACTAATTTCTCAAATTCTTAGTTTTTAACTTTGACCTTCAGCATTTATTCTTACCCAGGAATTCTGACACACTGATTTGTTTCTATCTGTGCATATCACTGACTTGTTTTCTGATTTGTTTCTGTTTCTTGTTTTGAAGTTAGTGTTTATTTCTGCAAATGTATATTGATGAATAATTTCAGTATGAAATTAGGTAATAGGTGGAAATCAAAAAGGTTAAGTTTTATAGCAAGGAATCAAAGTGTTTATTTTTTTCTTCCTTATTTCTGATGAATCATATGTGGTAAAAATTTCAGCTGGGGCCCCTTCATCTAGAGGATATCATCTTGAGTTACATGATATTGCTTGCTCATCGAAGGGCATGTGATCTATATTTATATTTCTTCAGTGCAATCTGATGTTTAAATGTGGAAGAGGCTCAGAGAATATTTGTTACAGGAAAGAAAGTCAGAGAGAAATTCGCACTCCTGTTATCATATCCTTTTCTTTTTTAGAATTTTATATTTATGAGTATGTATCTGCAGTACATAAAGATTACTTTCCATGTGGGGAGTTACACACACAACACATCTCAATTCTTTTTTTTTTGTACCCTTCCCCTTTCCTCCTGACTCCTTCTGTCCATTTTCTGCTGCTACCAATCTGGGAGCACAGCGAGCAGCTGCCCACCATCAAAGCTCTCAGAGGACCAGCTCTGTGAGCTCGGGACATCTCTGAAGTTTGAGTTGGGAATGATGGGAAAGTAATACTGGAATGATGGAGAAAAATCAGTCAGCTCAATTCCCCAGAGTGTATGAACATAGGAACATACACGTGGAAGACACAAAATTGGTGAAAGACTCTGGCCTGAGTTCGCTGAGACTGGTATAACTGTGGAAAGACGACAGTACAGAGGGCCTAGGGAAAGGGGACAATTGTGAGTAAGAAAGTTCTTTCTTGTGGTTTGGGTGGATCCCTGGAATTCATGTATTGCAACATTAATGGTGGTTGAAGGTTGGGCCTTTGGGAGGTTGTTGGGTCCTGGATGCAAAAATCGGATATTCTGAGAGATGTTGATGCAAGAACAAGGGAATAGAGGAGTAGAGATGTGTCTAGGGGACTCACTGATAGGAAAGAACTATGAAAATACAATGAAGATAGTACAAATGCAAGTTGACAAGTTGAATGGTTCCCCAACCTTAGAGTAGTTTTTGGCAAATTGCCAAAATCCCATACTAAAAGTCAGAAACACGAGTTCTGAGTCCAAGATTCACTTTTTGTGATTTTAGGTAAATAACCATTTTTTTCAGAGCCTCCATTTTCTAATAATGAAACTAAATAAATTTAGAAAATACAGAGCCTTGCACTGTTAGTATTCAACGCTGAAAGAGTCCATACTGGGTAAATCAATGCTTGAGTACTACCTGGTATACAGTCTCTGAAGTGCTAAAAATGAGGTAAATTGGTGTTACAATCATTGTCTATTGCAGGCCTCTTAGCACCTAATATTCAGCACCCCTGAGCTGAGTCCATGGCCAGTGCAAATAACGTGACTGAGTTAATTTTCACTGGGCTTTTCCAAGGTGTGGAGGTGCAGAGAGCGTGCTTTGTGCTCTTCCTGCCCGTGTACCTGGCCACGCTGCTGGGCAACGGCCTCATCGTCCTGACAGTCAGTGTCAGTCAGAGTCTGCGCTCCCCCATGTACTTCTTCCTGGGCTACCTGTCCCTGGTGGAGATCTGTTACTCCTCCACTGTGGTGCCTAAGTTCATTGCGGATCTGCTCGCCAAGGTTAAAACCATCTCCTTCAAGGGCTGTCTGGCTCAGATATTCTGCCTCCACTTTTTTTCGGTTGCTGAGATCCTCCTGCTCGTGGTGATGGCCTATGACCGCTATGTGGCCATCTGCAAGCCTCTGCACTACATGAGCATTATGAGTCGCCAACTGTGTCACATGCTGTTGGCCAGTTCCTGGCTGGGGGGCTTTCTTCACTCCCTTGTTCAGATTCTTGTCACCATCCCATTGCCCTTCTGTGGTCCCAATGTGATTGACCATTACTTCTGTGATCTCCACCCCTTATTCAACTTGGCCTGCACCAACACCTCTGTGGAGGGGGTTATTGTGCTGTTCAACAGTGGATTAATCTCCCTCTTCTCCTTCCTCACCTTGCTGTGTTCCTATGTTGTCATCTTGCTCAGCTTGAGGAACCATTCTGCAAAGGGGAGACACAAGGCCCTCTCCACCTGTGCCTCTCACATCACGATGGTCATCTTGTTTTTTGGACCTGCCACCTTCCTCTATGTGCGTCCCTCCTCCACGTACACCGAGGACAAACTGGTGGCTGTGTTTTTCACAGTCGTTACTCCCATGTTGAACCCTATTGTCTACACACTCAGAAATGTGGAGGTGAAAATCGCCATCAAGAAGTTGTGGGGCAGAAAGGCAAATGCAGGGATGGGAAAGTAATAAGAAATGAATGTCGGATGATGGTGTGTTTTGGAAATAGAGTTAGATTTCGGTGGGAGAATCAACAATGGTAGAAACAAATATTAGGGCTTTATGTCACTGTTGCTGTGACTCTACTTAGTAACTAAGGCCCCCTTCTATCCCGGTGTAATGTTCCAGACAGAGGTTAGACAGTCTCACTGAGTCTTATGGAACTTAATCCAGAAGTTTCATGGGCTCATGTAATGTGAAAGACAAACCATTTTCAACATAAAGAACATTTTGACTCCCTTTTTTTTTCACTTTTCTTTTTTGGTACCAGGAATTGAACCCAGGGCCTTGCACTTGCCAGGCAGGTGTTGCGCCACTGAGCTACATCCCTAGCCCTTGACTCCTTTTTTTAAGGTTATCATCACCTCCTTGTTTTCTTCATTCCCCTCCTTCATCTATTGTAAATTACATATTTATGGGGCACAGAGTGACATTTCAGTACATATATATGACGTGTAATGATCCAACTAATATAATGCATTTCTATCAGCTCATACATTTATCATCGCTTTCTTTGGAAATATTCAAAATACTCACCTTTAGCTATTATGAAATATCATTAATTCTTCTCACCCATAGTTACCCTATTATCCCATAGAATATTAGGAATTATTCCTTCTATTCGCCTGAACCACTGTATAAAGAACATTTCAATAAATATTTTGTTAGTTAAAATTCCTTCCTTCTGCCTCATTCTTCCTCCTTCCTTGCCTCCTTTCCTCCCATCCTTCCCTACTTGTCCTTTCTTCTTTTCTTCTCCCTCTTTGTTCAAGCTCTCTTATAATTGTAGGAGACCCCTGTGACGGTTTCTGATCTCCTCCTCAGTGCTATGGCACAATACAGGAAGAAAAACTCAAATAATTAAAGAGAAAAATGGGGAGCGAGGATGGCCAGTGCTGAGCAAGCAGCAAAAGACCCTGGACAGCCAAAGCCACTGATATTTATTGGTGACATCATAGTTAGATTAGGGTGAGAGGGCTCTGTGTGGTTGCTAGGGATATGTTCCTGATGCAGGCAAGGCTTGTAAGAGAAGACCAAAGCATTCTTAATTTGGGGAATGGAATTTGAGTGAGTCACTGACCATGGCTGCCATGTTATTTGGTCACATGGGCTTTGGTTGGACTCACTTCTCAAAACAAGCCCAATTGTGGGGTTAACTCTTTATAGCCTGCACTGCTCACAGCCTGCTTTGGGCATAATCAATGGGGCGGTCCCTCACACATAATAACAACTTATATTTCATTTAAAATGAAAGCCAACCAGAGAATTATCAGCAGTATATTTGTGAATGAGGATACTAATCTGACTTCCTCTTCCAATGTACAGATTATGTCTTCAAAAATTAGATCCAGGGAGTTTTCAATTCTATTTATGCCTCATGACATCTTGTACCTAGGTCATTTGAACAGGCTCACCAAAAGAGTCTCTGGAGCAATTTCACTTCTTCTGACATATTGGCACAAGTGATAGTCCTTTGGGCCATCTCACAATATTCAGCATTCACAAAGAATATCAAAATGAGATAGAGTCAACCTGTTAGTAGTGAATGATCAAGTTAAATATTTTTCTCAAAAAGGAAATCATTTTCAGACTTATCCAGACATAAAAAATTACAGAATTTAGCAAGTGCTTCTTGACCTAATGTGGAGGATGAAAGAGGGGGTGTTATTGTCCATCAATTTCCACTCTACACCTCTCACCCTTATCTCGCGGTAACCATGCCAAGATTACTTTTTCCATATCTGTATTTCTTGGTACAGCAAAGTGAGACTGTGTCTATCATCGTTTCGCCTCTTAGAATGTCCATGTCACCTCATTGTCCCACCTCACTGTGAACAGTTTACAGATCGTTATAAAATTGTCTCTTCTCAGCTTTGGAATGACACAGGCAGGCAGTGAATTTGCACTACATCTGTCTACCATTTTTTGATGACCAAGTGAAGTCTTGCTGGCAGCTTCCCTCGCAGAGAGAGGGAGCACCCTGGCCATACCATGGAACTCAGGGATTTCCCTATTTCTTCTGTATATTCTGGTTGTTCACAAAGGTGAACAGTGGTTTTAAGAGGACCAGGAAACCCTCCTCATTTCCCTTCGTGTTCCTGCTAACTGTGTCCAGGGATGGCCATCCTTAATCCCGGAGAAATGCTGCTTTCTCTCTCAGGAATGATTTTGCCTTCTTTCCAGGTGGCTAAATCCTATAGATCTTTCAGACCTAGTTAAAGTCTTGGAAGGTTTTCTGTCACCTCTCTCCTGCTCAGGTACAATTACATTTCCCCTCCTTGGTAATTTTGCATCTACACAACATCATTAGCCTATTTCTTTGATTCTATTTTGTGTGTTGCTCTCTCCTTAGACTCTAAGTTTTCCAGTGCAAGGCTGCCCATTGTCCCTTCCTTAGAGCTCTAAATACCATGCATATAGTTGATGGTTCATAAGTACTTGTCGAGGAAACAGCCTTTAAGATCTATGCTCAATCCTTGCTCTATCAACTCTCACGGGTTTTCTGAACACGTTGCTGGTGGACAGCTCATCTCTCTTGTTCAACTTTTAAGAGGTGAGGATTTGAGATTCCTTGGTTTGTTCCAATTGCTTATCAGCCACAATGCAAGATCCAAGTTACCTAATTTATCTTGTTTTTGCCTAAATTTAACAAGAACAACACTGGTAGGAATATCATACAATTATTCTGAACATTAAGTCAGTTAAGTGCTGTAATATTTTTAGGAATCTCTAGAATTTATAAAAAGAATAGTGCAGAGAACATGGTGCTCAGTAAATATTCACCATCTCTCTCATCATCATTGGTGCTGGTTATGAATTTTATTTGTGCCATGACTGCATCCTTGTCCACCCACTGGTCTTCT